TATTCAAAGGAAAATAAACATGGACGCAGGGTGTATTTTCAGGTGTGGCTTCCTGCCTTGGGTTCTCATCCATTTAAAAAAACAAACAAACAAAAAAATATGGTGGCAATGGCTAAACTCTAAAATTTAAGCTTCAAATGGTAAAACCATCACGTGACATCACAGTTCCTACATCCATGTTTTTAGTCTGCTACACACTGTGCCATTTTCAGCCATCCCAGACGTAAGACAACAGTCGTGAGAGAATCGTGGTGATATCTTTAGTCTTGGCTCTAAATCGGTGGTCCTACATCGCACTGTGAGACAGGTTCAAGGACAGCCGTTGTCATGGTCTTGCGACCAAAGACAACCTGCAATAAAATTCTGACAGTGTCAGAAATTTGGGGTGATCATGTCACAGTGGGACTGCTGCTGCGACCTGCGTCAACTAACTAACCAATAGAAACGCAGTATGAAATGAGGTACTGATCAGCGCGACACTGGTGCTAAACCCAAATAGATGCTCTACAATGGCAAAACGCATCAAAAAAGTATGTGGGATGTTGACAAAGAAGACAGCCTAGTACCCTTTTGTTGGGATTTCTCTCCAGACACATAAATGCCACAAGGGCGAGTGCTCCGTTCATGCTTCGCTAGTTTCTTTTTCATGGATGGATGGCGCACGCTTATGACGTTTTATTCTTGCACATTCACATCGACTCACGTACATCGTAGGCTGCGATTCAGTTTGTGTTTTCATTGTGCAATCTGAACACAGCAAACTTCATGTCGTGCCCAAAGTTTATTAGATCCATGTCGTACAGTGTAGCTAGCTGTGAACTTATAAGATTGTTAAATTCGTACAGTTGATATCCGGCCTTACACACAATCTATGACTCAAACAAAACGATCCTGTTACTTCATAACTGCTGGAAATAAGCAGCTCTTTACGTCCATTTGCCATAAAATAACGTACATATATTTTAGAGTTTCTGCTGCCCCTGAGTGGACAGAAAAACATATTTTTGCAGTTTGAAGTAAAGGTTTTGGATCTTTTTCCACCGCTGCTGCAACACAACCGGAGCTGTGAGCGACTGAAAGGTAAAACCTGTATTTGCAGCTGCAGTCAGTGTCCCTGAGTGTCAGATTATCACGGGATGTTAACAAGGTGTGGATTAATTTCCAGTGAAATCAAAGCGCAGCTCTGGCACGCTCAGTTTGAGTCGTAATTGAAAACACTGGTGATTAGACGCATTAATTTGTCAGACACGGTTTCAATAATGAGGCTGATTTATGAAATGGTCACAGTCGTGCAGTCAGCAGAGCTCAGCGAAGCCGAAACACCATCAGTCCTGCATTTTACTGCGTCAGCAAGTTAATGTAGAATAATGACCTGCGTCCACAGCAAGTTAAATAACGTTCGAGGTGGAAGATTTAAACCGCAACAGGGCAGAGTAACTTCAAGCAGAGGTTTACGCTGAAAGTTTACTTTTTGAAGGTCTGACAGAAAAAAAAAGAAGAAAGATGAACTGAAAGATAGAAATAAAATTAAAATAAAGGAAGAAACAAGAAACAGTTGAATTCAAAGAAAAGGGAAGACATGAAAAGATGGAAATATTAGGAAAAGAATGCAAGAAATACAGAGTAAGAAATAGGAGAAACAAAAACCAAAGGACAAGTTGAGGATGAAAACGAGCGAAGAAGGAAGAAAAAATATGATGAAATAAAAAGTCAAAAAGTATGCAAGAATTAAAAATAAAAGGACCAAACAGAGGGGAGGACAATGAATAAAAGAAATGACAGACGGACTGAATTAGGAGCAGAAATAAATCTCCTCTGAAACCTGTAGAAAACCTCCCACCTGCCCCTGAGTGTGTTTTCATCCACAGGTTGGTTCACTGCTGCAGATCGAGCTGCTTTTAAATCACTCAGGTGACGGACGAAGCTTTCTGAGGCTCTAGCAGCCCACGATGATGGGATTTTCCAATTTGGATTCAATCAAACAGCGATAGAAGCAGATTTATCTGTCCGAGCCGAGAGCGGCGCTCAGCTCGCTCCATCGAGGTCGGAGGTGAAGCAAACTGTTTACGGAGTATCATGGAAGCAGCAGAAAATAAATGTACTTTGAGAAGCAGCTTCACTGAGTCACTAAAGCTCCTCTCAGACAGGCTTCATCTCATTATGAGTGTACGGTGGGGATCCATTCATAAAACAGTGAGCAGCAGTGTTGTCAGGTTTCAGGAAACTTCTTGATTTGGGAGGCGAATTTTGGCTACGTTTTGTACCATGACACTAAAATGTAGTGGTTTAAACTTGAGATGTGAGGTTAAAGGTAGTTGAAATTAAATTTAGGGACAAAAATTGGGTGAATTTTTATACAATTCATCCGGTTAAATGATATCAGGAGCGCTTCAGGAAACCTAAAGGTGGCGTCACAGAAGGTTTGTCCCTTTTTATGTACAGTCTGCACAAAACACATATTTTTAGAAGCAGTAACAATTTTTTTGTCATATATTTTCATATGTATTTTGGAGAATCACTTCAGAAAAGTTAATAGAAACAGCAAAATCCAGGTAAAGCATTTTTGCTAAAACGCTTTTACGCTTTCTTGAGGTAGTTTTTTGACTTTTTGGATAAAAAGTTGGAGATGCAAACACCCTTTCTGAATAGGTTCGGACGTAGCAAAGATTTAACTCACATTTCTGTTTCTGGAGGCTCAAGACAACATAAAACATGACCAACATTGGCACACATGGAAGAATAGTTACAACTTTCCTGATTTAAAGAAATTCCTCAAGGCTTCTCCCTATCTTTCTCTGACAGATGGACAAATACTTGTATGTTTCTTCTTCTTCTTCTCTGAGGTTTTTCAGCAGTTGGCAAAACAACTGGTTTTGTTTCCAGTCATCTCTGCTGTGTCGTTCACATGTAGCGCCACCTTCTGACAACACTTTGCACGACGGCGGTATCCTCCAATCCGAAAACACAGACAAAGATGATAAACTGAAAAACACGTGAAATCTAAACCCAAAGCTGAACCAAAACTAAGCTTTCATGTGACACTAAACAACATTTTCTCCACACAGGAGGGACCCCTGCTCATTAAAACCTGCCACGATTTTCTTCATGTTCCTTCTTCCTCATTGGCTGAACAACATGTTAGTGTCAGATTTTCACACAGCGCTTCCTGCCGGCTGCATCGCTGTTGCACGTCGCGCTTTAAATCCTCCGCCTCCGTCCGATCGCTCATGCACGTCAGCGAACAGCGTGATGACAGAGGGTTTACAGAGCCGAACAGACTGTGGGTGGAGGCCGGCATGATGCAGACAATTCAGATACCTTAAAACAAAACCTCAAGACTGAACGTGTTGGTGTGCAGTTTATATGTGTGCAGCCTCACTGTGATCTTTTTTTTTTACAATAATTCCACCAGACAGCAGCCAGATTTCTGCTGTGAGGCTGATTTAGCGACTGTTTCATACATCTGCAGCCTGATTTGTAGCACCACACAGTATTCATGTCACATTCGTGCAGCAGCCAAACACACACTCCCACCGTCTACCCGACATGAAAAATATTTCTTGGCAGAGCGGTGAATCAAAATGCTGCAGATTCACAGCTACACCTGCAGACACTGACACCTGCAACGTACTCCGAGACGAGAAAACTCACTCCGGCGGTGGTTCGAGTAGAGTTTCGTCACTGAAAACTGAACTAAATAAATGTCTGAATTGGAAGCTGCTCCAGAAGTTGAATACTGAGGCAGTGAAACATGGAGCTGTGGTAAGAAAGCTATTGTAAATATAGAGTTTGGAGATTAAAACACAAAACCCCAAGAGCATGAGCACAAGTGATGTAATTGAGAGTGTGTTTATCTGCCCAAATGTTTAGCTAACTAGGTTGGTAGCTAAACATGCTAATGTAGTCTTAAAGCTGAAAGGGCTTTGTAAATGGTGTAAGCTAACAAAAACTACATGTTTTATACATCATTTCAATGTGAAAGATAATGACTTTTTACCTACGTTAGCTTCAGCCTTTTAGCACAATATCATGTATGTTAAGTTAATTAGCTAAAGACTGTGTTTTCATCCACATAATAGGGCAAAAGTTAGCTTCACAAATAGCTAGTTGGTAAAAATGCAACCAGCAGTCTTTTGTGAGCTCAGAAAATCAACAACAGCAGTCTAGAAATTTGAAGTTGCTTAAGGGTACGTCTCGCTGCAACGACGGACACACTGTGTAAAAAAAAATACGGAATTTCTTTGCTAAATCAGTCGCTAACCCATGAAAACAGCATAGCAACGATAACCGTTTGGCTGCTTCGCTTACATACTTCTTCCCAAACTCAAATTGTATGTTTTACTTTAACAGTTAAAGAAGAACAAATGTATCTGATTAGCGTTAGACCCGATTCTTTAGTTGGAAGCCCAAGAACAAGCAAATCTTCAGTTCTCAGTTGAGTTTGGTATATTTCGGTCACAGGTGAAGTGAGGCAGCGGGACAGAGAGGAATCTCATGTCCAGCTGAACTGAGTTTTTTCGGCTCCAGTTTACAGATATCTTCTTGGGTTGGACCTGCCCCGGACATAGATAAGATTTGTACGCTACCGAGTTCAATTGGCCAGTTACCAATGGACAGGCATACCTCTTCTACGCTCTGTCCACGTCCTTGAAATTTGGTAAGCAACATGTGTGGATGTTGTTGGTACGGCGTGTAGCTAAAGTAACAATCGTATCTGATAGAAAAGAGGAGTTTCCACTATCTCCAAGTGTGTGAACCGGTTCTCACCGGTCATGTTATCTTCAAGGACATATGCTGTTCTCAGTAGGAAAATACGAAACAGAATCATAGGCTCAGTGCAAAATACAGATTCAGAATACATAATAGCTCGAAACATACTTATACTTATTATAACATTAGTGTTTGGCAAACAGAAGACTTTATGTACAGGAAAGTACAGCTAGCATTCCTCCACTTAGAAGAAAAAAATAACAATACAAGTAAAAAAAGCTCCGCCTTACCGGGGCACCTGCCCAGGTGTTTGACGTCGATCTGCTCCTGCTTCATACACGACGCCTCTCGGACCAGGCAGGGGTTGTTGTAGGAGTTTCCGTCTGTGGCACAAACCGGGTTTTCATTGTGACCGCTGCAGTCGATGTTACATATGCACCTGAGGAGAGGAGTTGAGCTTCAGGAAAGGTTTGTCACAGCAGAATTAATGTTGCAGCCTGAAACCTGAACGCGTTTCTGCCACACAGCTCCCATCATGAGCTGAAGTACATGAAGAGAAATGAAGACGCAGCTCATTAAACTGACTGTCTGCAGACACAAAGAGCTAATTTAATCCTTTTGAAGAACTTTCTCAGACATGTACAACACAGTTCAGGACACAATTAACAGTTTCTCCAGTTCTGGTACTTTTACTTTTTCATTTTATGCTATTTTATACTCCTATGCCTCTACATTTCATTTCATTTTATGTGGAAACTAAAAAAAAAACATTAAATAGAAGGAAGACTCATAAATAAAATATTGCAATTTATACTCCACTACCAGTACTTGAAGGTTACACTTAACAACCGAACATAAAAAACTCATACATTCATAAAATAAAACGCTCTGTTTAATAAAACCAGCAGACGTTACCATTTCCAGGTTTTATACTGACCTGAAACCATACGTTTATCCACCATTATTTATATTTTATTCAGAAACCAACAATTTTATTCAGAAACCAACACTGATGTGTTCTTCTGTCTTCAACAAGATTGTTGAGATTGACAAGATTAAGCTCATATTGTATTTGTGTGTTTGACTGTAATAATATGTATTTAACAGCACTCCATGAGTTGCATAGGATTTTTATTCATATTTTATCTGTATCTCTATAATTAGAATGTCGGTCATTAACTGTTGTTCTAATGATGCTAGAAGGATGACATTTGGATGTAAGGTCAGGAGACTACCAATAAAAGCTCAAGGAGCACCAGTTGCTAGCCTAGGGATGCTAGTGACAGCTTTGGGACACAAGGGGCTAGCCTAAGGAAGATAACCGCTAGCCTAGAGATGCTAGGTGCTAGCCTAGGGATGTTAGCTACCAGACTAGGGATAGTAGTGAATAGCTTAGAAATGCTTGTGATTGTCTAGGGATGCAAGTGGCTAGCCTAGGGATGCTAGTCGCTAGCCTAGGGTTGCCACTTTGCTAGCTTAGGGATATTAGCGACTAGCCCAGAGATGCTAGGGACTAGCCCAGTAACAACAATGACTATCCTTTCCAAAGCTGGTTGTTCGCCAAGTCTAGAAATGTTAGTCACTGCCTAGGGATGCCAGGGTAAACATTGCTATGCTAGTGACTAGCCTGGGCATGAAAGTGGCTAGTCTTGGTCTGCTAGTAACTAGCCTAATAACAGCAGGGATTTAGGGGACTAACCTAGGGATGCTAGTGACTAGCGTAGGTATGCTAATGGCGAGTAAAGTCAATTCCACATCCAGTAGGTTATTGATGTAAACCTATGAATTACTTGTTGAATGAACTGCCCAACTTGGAAAGTGGGTGACGCATCTCAAAGAGTGATAAAATCGGTTCTTCCGGCCAAATCAGCCTCTGACTTCAACACAAACAGAAACTACAGCTTCTCAACAGTCATATTTTTGGCACAAGTACTGCACCACAGTGACCCTGTACAAGAAAGTTCATGTTGGGCTCTTGTTGTATTAATCGCGATACTTTATCTGGTGTCCAGTAAAGCAGGATATACACAGTACATCTGTAAATATTCTGTATTTCAGCCCACAAAGCCTTCCAGGTTCTCTGTAACTGCTGCTTCACCATTCCAACACTCACCAGACGTCCTCCGAGTCTTCGTCACACTCGGCTCCATATTTACATGTGCTGCACTTGGTGAACTTCTTCCCAACATCAGAGCCTGAACCCTCATCATCTGTGAGTCAGAAGAAACAAACGGCATTATTTACTGTCAGGTGCTTCTTTTCACAATTCTTATCAGTTTGCAGCTGGTCGTCTCCCATTACTGCTGCTGAAGTGAACGTTTCTTGACTGAGTTGGTTGGACAGGATTGTATTGAGTCCAAATCCTCTCAGATCCCTCATTAGGTTTCATCATTTGCATGTAATTAAAGTTTTAAATATTTACAAGTCAGCTGTGCCAATTTAATACAATTCACAATTAAAGAAAACACAACCTTCAGCTGTTAATTCATCTCCAAATGAAAGTAAACCAGCGAGATTTGATGTCGCACATTAAAAACCTGCACAGTATCCTCAGCATGGTTGAAGTACACATGTGGGGTATTTTTATTTGCCACTTGAGCATTTCCACACTTCATGCTTCCACTGTTTTTCAGGGAAATATTGTATTTTTTTCTACCACATTTACTTCACAGGTTCACTGCAGCTCTTCTTCAGAACCACCTTTGAACAAGAGATCAGTGGACCAAATATGCATTCTTGTGTTAACAGTATAGTGAGTCTTATTCTACTTCATGCATTTCAATTTCACACCAGAACACTGCCAGGAGACACTCTGTAGCTTTTACATCACACTATTTAAATGTAAATCTGGTATAAATGCATATTTTATTTAGATATCCTGAAGTTATGCATACAGTGGGGCCCAAACGATAAGAGCTCATCAAACAGTGCTGCTTTTTCATGTAAGACTGGAAATAATCGGAAACATTTAAACACAGAAGAATTTCTGACATGCAAATCAAAGAAGAAACGTTTCGGCTACGTTTTCATTCCGACTGTTAAACTGAAATAGCCATTTGTTGTGGCATAAGTTTTAAACTAATGCAAAAAACAAGAATCTTTACAAATGTGCTCAAAACTTTTAGATTCCACTGTTTTTATTTATTGAAAAGTATGTATAACAGTGAAGTTCTGATCTGCTGTAGATTCAAATACTCAGCAACATATAATTTTTTTTTGCAATATTAAAGTACTTTTGAGTATTTTGAGACTTGATACTACATGGTTAGTTTGTGATACTACAGCTGAATGCAGGATTTTTTTTACCAGTAACAGTATTTTATCGTTGTGGTAATAAATCAATATTTCTTTAAAGTCCGATAACTGGTAAAACATTTTGACTGTTTAATCCTCTGAATCCCAAAACCTGTTGGATGTTGTAAAATGCATGTTGTCTTTAAAAAAAAAAAAAAAGCCAAAATGTCAGCATTTATGAGAGTCAGAAACTAGAAACTGAAAAAATTGGGGAATTTCACTTTTTTCAACGGTCCTCGAACTACTCATCTGTTGGAAAACTTTGGCGTAAAATAGTGCTATTTTATTAAAATAACTTTATTCTACATTTAAAAATGTCAAAAATAAACATTTTTCACAAACCAAATTATATATAAAAACAATGAATTTACTGTTTTATGGTGAAATCATGAAGTCTCACCAACAGTTTTTAAACAAACATTTAACAGAGTTTTAGGCTGAACTGCAGCATGTTTGCACAGGGTAGCGGGGAGACAAATACGGCAACACATTTAACATGCAAATAGTAAAATATATATATAATGTATGGAGCCGCCAGTTTTTTCCCCCCAGTGTTGGTGACACTTGTGCACACATGGAAAAATGTTCGACATGTTGATTCCAGGTTTTCACAATAAAAAATAAATAAAACACACAAAGAAATTCAACTTTTGCCTTCTCTTTTTTCGTTTTTTTGTAATTCTAACTTATACTGCAGAGAAGACGATTGCGTTCTCTCTCCTTCTTCATGGTTGTTCTGTTTCCATCGAGGTGCAGGACTTTATATTGCAGTGTAAAATGAGCCACATTGCAGTATAAATGAGACAGTATCAAATAAAACGCCCAGAAATTGCTTGGAGTTTAGAGGGTTAATGTGTCTTTTATGTTTCTATTGGTCGTGTTAATTTTGCTCTCGCTACCTCTGATTCAGGGAAAAGAGGACATAATAGCTCATATCAAGGCAAAACATGTCATTTATACCTAATCGTGTACGTGTGTTTAAACAGAGCAATAAAAGGCTCAGAAGCTGCTCGGAGTTCAGAGGGTTAGTACAGAAAGGAACATTTTATAATTGTTGATTAAAACGTTGTTGTACAGTGACACTGAAACTGCAGCACGAGAAAGAGACTTTTATTCTTGTGCTCAGATGTTTCTTCAGAGACTAATCGAAGCCTTGAACGCTGAAATGTGCGTCATTATTCAGCTGTGACACTTCCTTGTTGCATCTGCTTTAACTGCAATCAGACCTTTCTCCTCCAAAACTCTTTTTAATTTAACCTCGACGTCTGTTTTCGCTCTGTCGACTGTGAAACTCTTTATATTCGTGTCTTTCATCCTTGAACGACATAACCAGCTTTTTATTATTATTGTTTGTGCACCTCTTTCCAGAAGGGCAACTTGATTTCATATCCAAAAACAACCTCCAGCTTGTGTTTCGGTGAACACCGTTAACACTAACGGTGGCGTTTTTCCACCATCGACACGCCTCAGACGCTTTTCTATCAGACACAGCTGAGTGTGTGGAGACTCCTGAAGCTTGTCGGCCAAATAGAAACACAGACGACACATTATCATCTTAGGATATTATTATTATCATTACAGGGGATGCGTTTAATACCACCTCGCATGAAGGCATCCATTTTCCAGCAGAGAGTTCAGAGCAGATGAGGCGGCAACAACCTCAGCACCAAATATCAAAGAGCTGCAGGGATTATTCTTGGCTTCCTTTCATCGAGGGAGCCGTCTCCATGATTCATCATCAGTAATTTTGTCGCGTAATAGAGGAAAAGCTCAGCGATATCAAGGAGACGGAAATTAATCCACAAGGAAAATAATCCTGAAGTCATTAAAATTCCTTTTCAACCTGAAAATCTGAGTTTGTTTGCTTAAAAAAGGCAACAAAATCCTCAGGAACGGTGAAACCACAGCAGGTGTTTCTGCTGTGAATGGTGTCAAACAGTCAATATAATATTAAACCAGGCAAAAGCAGCGGAGAATATTTCTGGACAACCTTACTATTGATAATTCTTACTTACAAAACATGAAACAACAACATTCTGGCTGCAACCTACTGCACTGAAAATGAAACTGAAAGTAAAAGTTTTGCAGAGGATTTGGACCACACAGTCAGGCATTTGTGCCAGTTATTTTTTCTCCCTGTTGACTTTTTCCATTTTAATTTAATTTAAAATTTCTTTAATATTCTGCATGCAAATGTTCCACTAAAACAATTCCATCCATGACTTTCTGGAGTCAAAGCCGTTTCCTTTGCGTAGCCCCGCCCACAGCTACTGTTATTGGTTTTAAGCAGTGGTGTCCCATCAGGGCCATCAAGGCCTTCTCTGCTGGCCTAAACTCTATCAGAATCACTGACTTACAAATCAAATCAAATCAAATCAAATCAAGTTTATTGTCATTTTTCTGTATGTACACAGTAGTACAGGCAAGATGAGAGAGAGCGTTTCTTCAGGATCATTTAATTAGTAAATTTTATGGAATGAACGTCTGGGATAGGCACTAATCGTTCACTCTCGCTGTCTCCTGAAGGGGGCGCTGCGTCCATGCGCGCCACCATCACATTGAACATGGTGAACCTCTTCAGGTCCTGGTAGGTCTTCAGGGACACAAACACGATGGTGTGACGATGGTGAAGCTGCAGATGTTGCCCAGAGCTAGCTGTCTGTCTGTCCGCCCGGAATATTATCATCTCCTCCAGCTGTATGTCCGTCTGGGATGTTGTCATGGAGCCATGTTTCTGTTAAAGCAAACACACAGCAGTCCCTCCACTCTCTGTGGGTTTCTCTCAGTAAACGTAGCTCATCCAGCTTGTTGTGGAGGGAGAGGACATTGGAGAGCAGGAGGACGGTCCTGCTGGTCTGGAGGGGTTAGCCTTTAGCCTATCATGGATCCCGGCTCTCTTCCTCCTCCTTTGTTTACGTTCACACCGTTTGTACTTCCTTCTCTCTCGGGTAACTACCGGCGTAGCCTCCGATTGGACTCCGTGTTGGTGTAGTTTGTCTAAATCACAACCGATTGCCGCAATTCCAGCGCTGTTCACTGTCCTGATGCCCAGCAAAGTCTCCTGGACGCAAGTGTTGCAGAATGAACGTCTGGGATTGACAAGACACTCAAAACGTTCACTTTCGTTGTCTCCTGAAGGGGCTGCTGTGTTTATACGTGCCACCATCACCATGGCAACTATGATGTTAATACTAACTAACATATCAAATACTACGTTGTAATATTTTCCCATTAATCTTTTTACATTATTCCCAACAGTCTATTTTCTGCATTTCATAGGGTGTCTCTGTGCTGCTTCCAGCCGAGTATGTTTATATTAGAGCTTTTATCCAATCATGTTTCAGCCATCATGTGTTTCCAGGGTCAAAGGTGGTGCAGCTGTGGCTGCAGTGAAAGAAGACTTGTTGAATTGTTTTAATTGGGTTTCTTGCTTTAGTGATGGCATTCATTCTCGCTACATGAGATACCTGTCTGTGATGCAACGTCCTGTTATGCCGCCTTTCTGCGTAATACTGATGGTGTCTATCGCCATGGCGTCATAATAACGGTGATAAGAGGTGGTGTGATTCAGGCAGGAGGTGGTTTGATTCACTGAAGGCCTAAGAGTAAAATGCACGGCCTGCCACTGGTTTTAAGAAATACAAACGAGCTGTTTTTTCCCGNACACAGTCGGGCATTTCTGACAGTTATTTTTTTTTCCCCTGTTGATTTTTTCCATAATATTCTGCATGCAAATGTTCCACTAAAACAATTCCATCAATGATTTTCTGGAGTCAAAGCTGTTTCCTTTGCGTAGCCCCGCCCACAGCTACTGTTATTGGTTTTAAGCAGTGGTGTTCCATCTGGGCCACCAAGGCCTTCTCTGCTGGCCTAAACTCTATCAGAATCACTGACTTACAAATCAAATCAAATCAAA